CGTCATCGTCAATTCCGTAACGAGAAGACGCAAAATGCCCGCCGAATGCTTTTCCGTGAGATTTTCGATCTTCTTCCGTTTCTGCGTTGTACTTAGTGTCTTCGGTCGTTTCAGGGTGTTGTTTTTGTTGGAATGAATCTGTACTGTTGTTGTCGATGATGATGTTGCTGTTGTTCATGCATTTACTGCTGTTGTTGTTAAGATCGGTGTTGTTGTTGTTGCTGTTGCTGCATGAAATGTTTACATTCTGCACGCTGACGTCAGCAAACTGTTCGGCGTTTTCTTTATAATCTGTGTCGAACTCAGCTAGCAGTAGCTGCTGCTGCTGCTGGTAGCTGCTGTAGTCGGTAGATGTCAGAGATGTGACGGTCGTCGAAGTGGTTGTGTCATAATATGGAGATTTTTGTTGGAATGTTGTTGATGGTGTTGCTGAAGACGAAGTTGCGATGTTTAGTCTGCTGTTATTGTTGTTAATGTTGTTGTTGTTGTTAGCGTGATGTTGTTGGTGGTGATGGCAACTATCAATTGATATGCCATCATGAATGTTGAAGTCATCTTCAGCGTTTTGCTTGTTGATGTTTTTGTTGTTGTTGTTGGCGTGTCTCTGGTTGTTTATGCTGGAGCTATTTTTACTAGTAATGTTGTTGTTGTTGTTGACGTAATTTTTGTTTCTTATCATTTCGGCGTCTTCATACTTCCTACTTTTATAATAGCTCACGTTCATCGGTCCAACGCCTGATAAATTAATGTTGCTGTTGTGGTTGTTACTGTTGATGACATTGTTGTTGCTGCTATTGATGTTGTTGTTGTTATTGATGTTGTTGAAGATGTTAATGTTGTTATTTATGGCGTTGTTGTTACTTTTGTTTATTTTTTCAAGATGCAAAAATTCATTACTGTTGTTGTTGATGTTAATGTTGTTGTTGTTGTTGTTGGTTGTGTAGTTGTTTTTGCTCGTTGGACAAACACTAATGAGTTCTGCATTGTTTAGTTTATTATTATTATTATTATTGACAATCAAAAAATTATTGTTATCATTGTTGTTGTCTATGTTCAAACTGTAGGGATTTTGGCTTCGCTGTGACTTGAAATTAATCCTACTGTCCTGGCCCCACACGTTGTTAACATTGATATTTTTACATTTATTGTTATTGTTATTATTATTGATGTTGTTATTGTTATTGTTGTTGTTAGTATTATTATTAATGTCGCTATCATCAGTGTCGTTGTTAAAGTCGTTGTTGTTGTTGATGATGTTGCTGTTGTTTTGGCAGATGGCATCGTTAACATTACCAATTGCGTTTTCATTATTATTATTACTATTATTATTATTGTTGCTGTTGTTTTTATTATTGTTGTTATTATTATTATTGATACCTATGTTATTATTATTATTATTATTATTATTATTATTATTATCGTTATTGTTATTGTTGTTATTATGGATGTTACTAATAACATTCGGCGTTCCATCGTAGCCCATCATTTCGCCACTGGCAGCATTTCGCTCGAAGCCAACAAACGACGATGAAGACGATGGCGATTGAAACGCAATGCCGCCTCCAACGCCGCTTCCAGCGCTTCCGCTGCTGAAATCGTTTCGTGGTTCCTGGTAAAAATCGTAGCGTGGATGGTATTGGTAGATGTCGTTTGGCGTAGGAATGTTCGGTAGTGATAAATTTTTTAGTTGTGGTAACATGTGGCTACTGCTGCTACTACTGCCGCTGCTGCTGTTGTTGTGGTTGAACTGTTGTTTTTGCACGGATCTAGTTTTAGATACGTTCCTGTCTACTTTCTTGCAGCGCGTTTGATGCTGGGTGTGACTAGATAGCAGCATGTTGCTGTTGTTGTTGTTGTTGTTGTTGTTGTTGTTGTGTGGGGTATCGGTTAGTATGTTGTCGTTTGAAATGACGGCGTTGTTTATGCCTAAACTTTCTGGCTCTTTGTGAACCGATAGTGACTCGTTTATTGGAACTTCTGGAAATAATGTTGCCGGTCGATAATTTGGATAAAATGATGGCGAGTGGAAAGAGTTTTGAGACTGCTGAGGCAGATGGTTAGGGTAGATCTTTTGTTGTTGTGGTGAGAAGTTGAAGAAGGTGTTGGCGTGGCNTGGGGTTGGAAGGTAGT